AACCGTACAAGTGGTAACTTCTAGTAATATACACTGACTAATGTAAAAAATGACTAAACATAGTACAGTAACCTGCATAATACGATTATTTAACCGTACAAGTGGTAACTTCTAGTAATATACACTGACTAATGTAAAAAATGACTAAACATAGTACAGTAACCTGCATAATACGATTATTTAACCGTACAAGTGGTAACTTCTAGTAATATACACTGACTAATGTAAAAAGACATAGTCACATACCAACACAATTTCTCTTCCAAACTGATATTCCTTTATACCGTGGCTGAGACGTCGCTGTAACACATTTCTTTCTTCACATTCTACTTTCGCATTCTTCTCGCTATGTACTTCCTGGAAAGAAGAGTTTAAGCATATGTTAACATGCACTTTTAATAACGAAACTAAAACTACTTCCTGTTCATCTTCTTTTTCTTCTTCTTTGGAGTTTAACGGCGGCTTGCATCCGTCAGTGTTGCACTACCGCCACCTTCTGGACGATTCTCCTTCGCAGTTTCTCCCCTCCATTTCCAGATCAGTTCCTCCACACCTTATATTCTACCCAGCCAACCAGTAGTAGCTAGGAACTTCCGAAGGCTTTTCTTGCCTTGCCCAATCATCCCACTTTTCAATACATCTTTTATCCCTGCTCCACCCAATCCTCCTTTTCTTAATTCTCCCATCATTTTCCTCCTTTGTGCTTCATATCTTCTGCAATTTATAAGCACATGTTCTATGGTTTCAGGTGTCTTACACACCTCACAAAAACCAGTAGGATGCTTCCCTATAACATGTTACTTCCTGTTCAGTTCTTCTTCACCGGTCTTGTAAGACACGTTATAGCAATGGTGCCACCTACCAACCTGGACTGGAATAGCAGAGGATAACAGAGCGATGAGTGTCAGTTCGGAAGCACAGAGCGGCGTACAGAAGGACTTTCGAAGTCATTTATGCGCCAGCAAATGTTACAGAGGCACGAGAAGAGTCAAATTAGAGAGATGGTTAAGTGCCGAGTCATACTGTCTAAATCATAAAATTTGAGACACAACCAGGGAGCAGGGGGGAGATGACAAGCCGGTGCTGATGCTCCCTCCAATCAACAGGCAACCAGAAGGCAGGCAGCGGGTCATACATGGAGAATGACACAGGCAGAATGGCGAGCTGGATGCAGGGATGTCATTGGTAGTGGCGACGTCACATGTAGCAGGGTGTGCTGGACATCTTGATAGACTGAGGTCTCCAGGCAGCTCCCCCAGGAGGAGTAGGGGAAATAAAATGTGCAATTAGTCAAAGTAAGGGAGACTATAGGCAGTGCTAACAGTTAGGTGAGTGCAGTATGAAGTGCAATGTGCAAGCTCCGACAGAAATGGCTATGGCAGCATAAGTAGGAGGGAGAGGCAGGTGGGAATGCAGGCATGGGGAGTCCCTGAAATGACAGCACTCCAATCCCACAGCGATTGTGAAGCTACAGTGACAGCACTGTCAGTTCAGTGTATCCAAAGCCAATGGCACCGATCCCCACCCAGCTCTACACCTCACAATATAGGTCTAACTACAGGCCATATGTACTTATTAAGGGATATGTAGGGAATGACTGCCGATTCTTTTTCAGTTTATTGTACATGTTGGCTAGGGATATTAGGGGAAGTGATTGTGCTTTTTTTTTTGTCCAGGAAAGGTAGATTGAATTCATGGTCTTAGCTTGCTTTATTTGTTGTTTTGGTGTGAGTCACTCCTGAGTCCTGTAAATACACTGTGGTGCCAGCAATCTCTCTAAATACACTTCTGGTTTTACTCCTGTTCTGCACACACACACACACACACACACACACGCACGCGCGCGCACACACACGCACACGCACACGCACACGCGCGCGCACGCGCGCGCACACACACACACACACACACACACGCACACAGCTATTCTGTTACTCCCCAAACCCTAAGCTAGGGGATTGTAATATCTGCCGCTAGAGTTCTCACTCACACTAAACGATCCGCTCACACCCATCCTGTCGCAGCTACACTGGTTTCTGGTTCACTCTTGTATCAAACTCAAAATATTGCTTCTCACTTATAAAGCTCTGCATACCCTTGCTCATTGCCACCTCAGTGAACCCTTGACTCCCTACTCACCCTCTCGCTCTCTTAGATCCTCTAATAATAATCTCCTTGCCATTCCAGGCACTAGACTTTCCACCATGGGTAGCAGGTCCTTCACTGCCATGGCCCTCAAACTATGGAGCTCACTCCGTGTGTTCTTCTCTTCCTTCAAATCTGAATTAAAGACATTTCTTTCCTTGAACATTTCTCTTCTGTCTCTTCCTCCTGTACTGATTACTGATTTTTTAATTATTTTTCTGTGAATCTTTGTAATCAGGAATAAAATCATTTAAATTGATCGTAGTGTGTGAAATGAATTATTTATTCGGTAAGTAGTTGTACATTATCCCTTATGATTTATTTCGGTGGTGAAAAGGACAAATAATCAGAATCAGAAGAAAATAAGCGTCCACCCAGAATATTCGCCAGACAGAGGCTGTTGAGCTGAAAAACTGGACTGTTCAACCTAAATCCGGACATCTGCCCACTCTAGAGTGTAGTCTTTTATAAGTATTGCAAAACAACATGTTATGTACAGTATATGGACAAAAGTATTGGGACCCCTGGCCATTTAACTCGCAGAAACTCTGACATCCTATTCTAAATCCATAGGCATCAATATGGAGTTAGTCCCCCCCTATGCAGCTGTAACAGCTGCCACTCTTCTGGGAAGGCTGTCCACAAGGTTTTGGAGTGTGTCTGTGGGAATTTTTGCCCATTTATCCAGAAGGGCATTTGTGAGGTCAAGCACTGATAAGAACATAAGAAATTTACAAATGAGAGGGTATTTGGCCCCTCAAGGTCGTTTGGGGAGAACTTAACTAATAGCTCAGAGTTGCTAAAATCTTATCTAGCTCTGAACCCAGGGTTTTACGCTACACTAACAGGAAGACTATTCCATACTCTAACTACACGCTGTGTAAAGAAGTGCTTCCTCAAATTCATTTTAAAATGTTCTCCTGCTAATTTCCACTTATGGCCATGAGTTCTAGTATTTAAACTAATATTGAAATAGCCATTTGGCTGAACAGCATCCAGACCTGTTAGAATCTTATATGCCTGGATCATGGCCCCCCCTTAGTCTCCTTTGCT